CACACATACATGCTTATATAAATTATAAAATGAAAAATAAAACAAATAAATATCGTTGACCTCATATATGTGCAAATCTAATCATTATGAATTTATTTCGTTTCTATTTAATTATAAATTATTCAAATGAATTTTATATTTGATGTATGAATTTATAAATTAACAGAATTTCAAATAGACTACATTAAAATCTATTAATTAAATCAGTGAGTATAAATTTGTAAGGATGCATGTTTAATTCAATTTAATTGAAAAAAAATCACTAAAATAAAATACCATCAAGTTAAACATCAATCACACAATAAAAAACGTAACCTAGTTCAAAAATTAGTTTTAGATGCAAAAATTTTGAACAGAAAATTCTAATCCTCTTTTTAGGCCTGCCTATACCATTTTTACATTTCAATTTTGACTTTACCAAAATTATGTGAATTTTTACTTATCGATACTTTTTTACTTATCCATAAATTCATGAGTTTTCGATATGGTTGTGGTGTGAGCGACTTAAATTTTAATAAGAACCAATATTGCATTATTTACTAAAAAATTAACTAGCGTATTTTTCTCACACTTTCTCGTATTTCAACTTTGATAACCACTGAATTGTATATCAACTTTCACTTATACACTATAATTCAGATTTTCGGAATTTTCTCGAAACATATTGCCTAAGTCTTATCAATAAAAAATTCAATGAAAAAGAAGATAAAGAAAGTAAATCCCAAATACCGTACAGGAAAATTAAAAATTTTGCATGCAATCCAAATTACAGAATTCTGAAAAAAAAAATTAATTTCAAGAAACTTTAACCTTAGCATATGAAAAATGTACTATATTATATTTCAGTTTATAAACTGTGGCTACTACAAATACATAATGTATATTATTTTTCCTTATGTACATATTTATTTTTAATTTTCATTCAATTCAAACATTTCCAAAAATTGAAATTCAAATTTTCCAAAAATTTTTATTTATTTCTCAACCAAACGCAATTAATATACATATACACAAATATATGTATATGTACATTATATAATATATGTATAACAAAAATAATGTTGTACTATATATTCATATAATATTTATTGTCACAGACATCTGCATACTATTAAGCAGTTTTTTATGTATATATATACAATTATACTAATAACTTATAATATTATAATATATATATATATAATTATATATTATATATTATGTATATTATATTATTATGTTAGATAGCCGTAAAAACCAGACATTAAATTGAATGAATAGTTAATTTGTAAATAATTATTATTGATGAGATAAATATGCTGAAAACGTTTGTGAAATTGCATACCCACACAAATACATATATATTTATTATGTGTATTTCAATCAATTTTTAAAAACATTTAATATGCCTTCCTTTAATTTTCAAAAAGCCTTTCATTTCAAACCGCAAATCTCATTTATTATTGCTGAATTTTCGTAAAATTTTCATCAGGATTCTTTACATGTTTTATTTTTGCTTTGGTTTTTTTTTTAAATTTTTTTTCATACGAAATAAAATATCAATAATGTTTTATGAAAAACAAAAAAAATAAGAGCTGCGAGAAAAAGTAAAATGAAAATTTTATAATGAAAAAATTTTAAAGTTATAACATTTATAGTTATAAAAAAGGATATTAAAGGATTCATCACTACATTTCTAAATTGATTTTAGCAAAAAAAAAAGAAAATAAAAAATTAAATAAAAAAGTTGGTTTTATTTTATTACTTTTATACTTAAAATTTAGTGTTATCGAGTTAATAACGAGCTAATTATTGTAATGGGAAATATTACAGTTTCAAAGTTTTATTATTAACTGTTTTTTAACACTTTTGTAGTTTTGTTTTCAATCCTTTTTACTATACATATAAAAAACACATTATAAAGTGTAAATTATTATTAATAGCTTTATTTTTTAAAATTATATGCTTGTGTTCGAAATAACCAAAATAAGAACAGATTTTCATAAAAAAAAAACAAGATTAGATGTAGAAATGATCAAGGAGGTCATATGACTGGTACGAAAAGGGCATATTAATCTTTAGATCATGTCAACTGTTATATTTTTAAACAGTGACATTATTTATATCACAGCCAGTGTAAAATTTTATCTTCTTATGCTGAATTTTTCTTGAAATTTAGTTATTTTATCAAAGCTATATGGCAGCTATCCTATAATTTACCTAACCAATGTTGCGACAGTTGCAGCAACAGTCCTTAATCTGAACGGTAACAGCAATAGTCCTCGTTTTCAAACCCTAGTCAGGTCACTTTTAAATGCTAATTATATTTAGCATTATTTGCTTAAAATCCAATACTATAAATTAAAAACTTAATATTAAAATTAATCACCATTATATTTAAAGTATTCCATATTGAAGCAAAAATAAATTATCAATTACTTATGAGACTAAAGCATTGCTATAAAGTCAAATGAAAGCCCTATGTTCATAAGTGGATATGCTGGATTGAATTTCTTTAAAATTGTGTGAACAAATGACGAAGCATACTAGATTAAATCCCATTTCTGTAGGTCGATTTATTATATTAGCAATTTATTACTTGTTTTATTATCTAGAAGCTTACATAAATTTGCTTATACTTTTTCCTATAAGCCCTTTTTCACATTAAATGAAAATCCATATTCATTTCATCCGAATAGCGACTGTCCTCAAAAATATCGCACTATCAAAATGTCAAATTTATAAAAAAAAAAGGTTCAAATTACAATTTTTTCATTTATTTTTTTTATTCCTCTCAAAGGATTTTTTTTTAAAAAATATTCCTGAAAGTATGCAATTTAGTCTCGAATTGCTATTATTTTTTTGTTTTGCTCAATTTTTTTTCTCCTTTTTTTTTTTAACATTTAGTACAAAAAACTTGCTAAACTTAAAATATTTAGTCACATGCAACCTATTTAGAGGTTAACGAGTTTTGTTCCTTAATTTAAAAAAAAAAACGCTATACTGAGTATTTTTTTTCTTTTTTGTACTAAACACTTTTCTTTTAGTCAAACGAAAAACAAATTTTTTCTCAGTTTTTCTTTTTTTCAGGATTTTGTTTCATTTTTTTTCCAATTTATTTAAAAAATTACTGTTGACTCAGGAATAATATTGCATTTGTTGGTTATTTTACGCTATTTCTAAAAAAATGTACACCAAAAATTAAAAAAAACAAAAAATTCTCATGAAATTTAAAAAAAAAAAAAACCTATGTTTTTCCACCGGTAGGAATCTACGAAGTTCTTCGTACCATAGAATTTTTGCTTTAAGCAATAAAAATGTTTTAATTAACTTTAGAAAAAAAATCTTTTTGATAATTTTTTTTTTCGCAAAAATAAGAAAATGCGGAAAATCTGCTATTAAAAGATAATCATTTTTCTTTTTGCATTAGGCAAACTAATATACTTGTGTATGATATTATGGGTATAGGAATTGAATACATAGAAACGAACATATTTTAAATTCAATGAAATATTAAACACATAGTAATATACACGTATATTTTATAGCTACAATATTAATATAATTTGCAAAGTAATTTTAATATTTCAAAGCGGCGTTAATAAATATGAAATTTATTTTACATTAGTGTCCACAAATTTGTACAATTAGAATTGCAATTTTTTAATTTTTCGATTGTAATATTGTTATACGACGGTCATATTTAAATTATATATGAAATTTTATATATGTTACATGAATCTGTAGTAAAAATCTTGTAGTTTTAAAAAAAAAACTAATTTATTTTGCCGTAATAGAATGTGACCAGACATTTTCCATGCCCTTGAGAAATAAATACATTTTTCTTTTCTCCTTGTTGCACAAGAAAAATAAAAAAAAATGTTAAAAAAATATTAAAAAATAAAATAGTAACTAATTTAGTTTCAATATAGAATTATGATTTTGCGGTTTTATTTCATTATCACTGAAATACACATGCACATATACACAATAATTAAGATATTTAAAGAATAATTGAAGCTAAACACAGATTTTAGGATTTTTTGTCAGAGACTTCAATATATTTTGTTATAAAATTTTAAAATTTGTATTTTGCAATGCAAAAAACACAGGAATTTTTCGATATAGAGTAACTCTGAATGAAATTTTTTTTAATAATCCAACACTGAGGTTTATAAATGGCATTCGTCTCAAACCGCCACGTTATAATGTATTCAAGGCGGAAAGTAGAATTTTATTGGGTGGAATGGTTGTACTGACATATTTTTCTATTAATTTTTTTACATTTTTTCCACTTTCTATCAAGTTCTTAAGTTCCAACAAAAGATGTGGGATATATATATAGTCTATTCCTAGTAGTTCTTTGATATACTCGTACATACACTACGTTATAAATCTTCGTTAAAAATTTAACAAAATGCTCAAAATTTTTGAAATGTGCTGTATACATACACACACAATATAATATGCACACACACTCTGATTAAATTATTTTTGTTTTAATTAAAAGTTAAAGCAAACATTTTAATTTTAAAATCCGTTTTAACTTTGAAAATTTATTTTTGTACAATTAACACAAAAATTTTTTCATTTTACTTTACTTATTGTTAGTATGTCGCCTGAAAATTTTTTAAAATAAAATAAGAAAAACTATATACATGCGGAGATTTACATATTATACATGTACATATAAACATATGTGTATTATTTTTAATTATTTGCTCGCACCATAAGATCTTTGTATAATGAAGTAAATTTTTCGGAAAAAAATAAGAAAGAAAAATTTATTTATTTTTTTTTTGAATTACGAAATTTTCGTATAAAATTCAAACATAAAACGTACACATATGTTTCTAATTACATTCTCATATACAATATACATATGGGCCATATAACGTATGTTATTGTAGTAAGTTTTATTTATTTTTAAAATATGTATAAATAATAAATATTTTCATCTTTGTATATTATTTTTCTTAATTTCTTTAAATTATTTTCTCCTTTTTCATACATACATACAGATTTATGATTGGACAGTATGTGACAGTCCAAGGGGATGTAATTAGTCACGTAAATATAAGTCATGTTATGGTTGAAGATGGTGGTGAATATGCATGTATTGCTGAAAATCGTGCCGGAAAAGTTACACATTCTGCAAGACTGAATATTTATGGTACGTATATATTATTTTTTATTATTAATGTTATATTTTTAATAAATACAATGTTTGATGAAATAAAATATACTAGTTGTACAACATGTTGCAAATATAATTGCAAATTTTGAATATTATATATATCTACATGAATAAATATGCTATGTAAATAATTATAAAAATTCTAAACAATTTGATATTAATGAAATCAAGAATAGTAAATTAAAAAGAATTGTGTTTTACAACAACAACAAGAAAAGATTTTATGGTCCATCATTAAACCATTAAAAATGCAATTTTGCATACCGTAGGGTTCAATTATTTATTTTATGATTCAGCATCTTTAAGTATAATATAATTATAAAAGTTTTGTTTACTAGCAAGAGGATTTCTTATCAGGGGATAATATGAAAATATCCCAAATCAAAATTTTAAGTGCATATTAAACCTATAGAAATAGGCTAAATTAATGATAGAAGAGTCAGATTGAATAGATTTTGTAAAAGTGTAAAAACCGAATCGTACGAATAAATGACACTTATTGTCACTTTATATTTTACTTTATAAATTTAACATGCAGGTAATTTCCTAATACCTCTGCAGCTCAGCTGGTAGAGCCTCCGCCTAGAAAACGATATTTCACTGGTTCGAGTTCAGTTCGAGAAGAAAACTTTTTAAGAAATTTCTCTGCCTTGACTCGATTTTTGCATTACTTCATCCATCTGTTCTACAGTTGTACGAAGAAATTTCCCTTAGTTATTCTTATAGGAATTAATAACAGACATAAAAAAAGCTACACGTTGTATTGGTAATTAATAATAATTTGACCCAAACCTAATTGGCAAAATAATTACAAGACATAGAGAGAGAGTTACAAAAAATATACGAATTACCGTTTGTTTTTCTTAATCTGTGGGATGTTTATAAGTTTAATGCTACAAATTTGTAATGTACGTAACGAAAGAATTAAATAGAAAAATGAACAAAAAATGTTTCCTTATAAATTTTAAACGATTCTTTCTTCATTATCCTCAAAAATTTCTATTCTTCTTATTATCTAAATATCCGTACTCAAAAGCGTATTTTTTTTGTTTTAGAAATTAATCTACATTATACGTAAAAATTTATTTAAATTTTAAAAAACAAACAATATAAGATTAAATTTACTTCAATATTCCGTCAACAAATATTCAACAGTATATTTATACGTATAAATGTTCTGTGATATGTAGGAAAACTTGTCACAAGTATTCTTACAACTTTCAAAAGTTTTTGAAACTTCTTAAAGTATTATCATATACTTATAATACTTTTGAAAACGAAAAGTACTTTAAAATAAATTTATTTTTGTAAAGATATTTTTTGTGCATACTCACTTGCACATACAAACCAATCTATTGTACATACAAATATACAAAAAATGTTGCAATTTGGATAGTTTTCGAAATTCAATTTTTTTTTTTGACATTGCATTCTTATAATAAAATTATATTATGACTTAGTAACAACAATCATGATTACACATTGTGCCAATATCTATCTGAGAAAATATGCAAAAAGATGTTATAAGTGAATGTTAATGAAGACAACATTGTGTTCAACTTTATCTGAAAACAGATTAAAAGTTAAGGAGAAAACGAAATATAAGAAGAAAAATAAGAAGTTTTAAATGTAAATACTGTAAATTTTTATAAAAACAGAAGAAAATACTATCAAAAAACTTTTAAAAGTAAGTGATAAGCCGATGATTATCGAAGCCAAAATTACGTGACATTGGGAGGAATTTTTTAAAATACAACGCCTGAATTTAAAAATGAAATAATTTTTTTTTTCTAATCAAAAGGAGCCATCAATGAGAAACCATCAATCAAAACCCTTAAATTTTAATTTGAGAATATGGTCAGTGCAGCTGTTCGAAAGTTCAATGTGCTTTCGAACGTTATAATTGTCCTGAAAAATGAAAAATGTTATCCTGTGTTGCGTTAAGCCTAAAATATAAGTAAAAGTTTAATAAAACAATTTTTAGAAAATTTATTTTAGAGTTAGGATAAATTAACAAGGCCCCCAAAAGATTCACATACACCATATAGTCGCTGTGATGATACCGTTGGATTTCAATATCATCGCTCTTATAGAAAACTTACTTTTTACAAAAAATTATAAAAAATTATATTTAATTAAAGTAAAATATGACCATTTTTTTAAACCATTATAATTAGAACCAAAAAAAAAAGTTGTTTTGTTTCGTCATTTTGAAAATAAAACAAAGTTTCCTCTTAACAATTACACTTGTATTGTAAATGAATTGAAATTTTAGGACTTTAAACAACAAAAAAACAAAATTATTATGTTTTTACATTATGAGAGCAAAAACTGCTCTCGAATTTTTTGATTTTCTTTTGCTTAAAAACAAGAACAAATATTTTCACCATAAACTTTTTTTCAATTGAAATATTTTCAGGCCAAATAAAAAATTCATTACTATAGCCAGATTTCGATAGACCAAAATTATTTTAAAAATTATACAATACAATCTAATGCCATATATATCTATCAGGCCATCAAGCTGAGAGAGCAAATCAAAAATAAATTCCAAATTTATATGCAGTTTAAATGTAAGCGATGTCGGAATTTATTTGTGTGAAGAAAATTGATCAATATTTTTGGATCTACTGATTCTACATATTTTTTGAAAGGTTGCAGACAACCTTTCTTGTCTTCCAAATGGAAGGGTCCTGAATTACAGAGTAAAATTTTTGAATAAAAAATATAATTTAAAAATAAATTGAGCAAAAAAGCAAAAAAAAATAAATATTATAATCTAGATGGCTTTTAAAACTATACTAAATAAAATGAGATTCATAAAGAATACTCAAAAATTTCATAAAAACATAAAACATTAACAATTGTTTGTGTATTTTTTTCCAATTCAAAATTTCGGAAACTTGGAGGCCTGATAGTTATATATGGCATTATACAATCTGTGCTTATAGTTTTGCCTATAGCTTATCGATGTTCTAATGTCAATTTGATTTTCTAAATCTAAGCAAGACCTGAAAAGTTTATTATACATATGAGGACTTGTCAAATATAACACGTAATTTTCAAAAACTACCGCTCACAATTACAAAATTATGAATCAATATAAACAGAAGTAACGCACAAAAATTAAACAACCACGTCTAGCAACTAATGTATATTTTTGCATTCTATAACATTTTTCCTTTACAATATTTTTCTATTCAAATATTACTGAATTTTTTTAGGTGAAAGTTTTGTGGTCAATCACCATAATGGCATATGTGGCGTGGTACTATGCAATTTTTACTCAATTTTAATATAACTAAATCTATTTATTTTGCAACACGTACACATATACATACATACATGGATTTATTTTGTATTCATACAAATTGTAAATTATGAAAAAGCCAACCATATTTGTATATAGTTGCCATCAATTCAAAAATAAACAAATAAATAAATAACTAAAAAAAATAAAGGAAAACAAGGATACGAAAAATAAGGATAGAAAAAGGAATGACTTTTAAGCTTAACGTTTCAGTGGTTTTTATTACTTTGTCTATATTTGATTTCATAGTTCTCGTTCTTTTTTTTTTAAATTTCCTGGGTGCATTTTCAATTAATTTTATTTTTTTATAATAGTTGCCATTTTTTTTTCAAAAGGATTTAATTTTGATATTTGAGTTTTTTTCACATTTTTCGTTTTAGGACGAAATAAATGGAAAAATGGGTTAATAGTTTTTTACACAATATTGTGTTAAAAAAAATTATTTACAAAATTTAAATTTTCTGCATACAATATGCATTATTCACACATACACAAAAAAATATTTTTTAAAGCATTTATATGTGAATGATTTATAGAAATGAATGCATTGTGGTCTTATTGTAAATTATTACTCTTGTGTTTCTATTATACTATTTTCAAAATTTTATTTCATATAATTTTACATATATATATAATATGTATGTATACCATATGTAATTGGAACTTAGTTGAGCATTCAAGAAAATTTTAATAAAATTTATTGGATTATTAAGCATTTAAAGGTTAACAGAAAAATGTGGCAGCAATATTAATTATGTTTGACCGGCAGTTAATCAAAACAAACTAAACTTAATTATTAGATCTAAATATAAGGTAGATATATTATTTTAACACTATAGATTTTAACACTATAGACCCCCAGAATCTCTTTATTATAACCAAATATTTCAAAAAACAACAACGTAGACAAAATTTATCTTAATACATAATTATTATCACTTCGATCTCATATTAAACTCTCATATTTTCAAAATTTTTCAAAAATATTTTTACAAAATTTTTATAAACTATAAAAATTTTTAGTCTTCCAATAAAGAATTTATATATCCTCTCTGATTTTCCCTTAATTTCATTTAAATCTCAAATCTTTAAATTTTAACTTTTTAAACATTTGATTTAAAAAACAAATTTTTTTATTTTTAAAACAGAGACCCAAAATGCAAACATAATTCAAGTTTGAAAATGGAAAAATAAAAGAGAAAAACTAGAATTAAATTAAAAAGAAAATTTTGTAAAATTTATTGCAACCATATTCAAGAAGGCAGATGTTGCTAATAAATTTTATATTTTATTTACGCAAAAATGTCTGAAAATTTGCAAAAATTCGACAAAAACAGCAACAAAAAAAAAATCCATTTATCTATCTAAACATATATATGTACACATATTTTGAAATAAATATACATATATGTACATATATACTTATAATTATACATGTAAAATTGATAGTGTAAAACGTTTTACAGATCAACTCAAAGAAAATTTATGTATGAATGGAGATAGAAAAATTAAATAAAAAAAAAATGGTTCAGGCAATGATTTGAAATTAGTTTTTCGACCTATTAAGTCAAGTTGAACCGAACATTACTTATGTCAATTGGGTAAATATAACTACATATATACATATGTACATATTTGTATTCATAGATTTGTGCATATTCTTGAT